ACGGGGGACGAGGAGCTCTATTTCTTCGGCGTTGGACGGTATTTTGCAGACGAAATCGGCCAGAGCGTCATCACCACTCGAGAGGTACGTCATGTGTCCATCTGCACTGATAGGTGACGCCGATGTATCTTGCTGTATGCACATGTAGGGTGACTTGGTCTGGTGGACTCAAGAGGTGGGGAAGGGGGGCGGCATGCTCGGGGTAACGCCAAGGGGCCATCTAGTCCACTGGGACAAACAGCCTAACGACACGGCCGAGACTGCATACGAGCTGAATTCGACTTATCAGGTGGTCGACAGGCACCAGACCGGTATGCAGACGATGTCCTGCGCGGGACGGGGCCAGACGAATGTGTCTGCAGGTCATGGATATCAGCTGGACCGTCACACCATCTCCTTCGACGGCGACAGCGCCATCTTGGTGGCCTACACTAAGACCAACGGCACAGTTCACAACGGTTTGCAAGCACAGAGCTGCTTGTCTCATCTTTTGACACATCTCTTCTTCTGCTGTGCAGTGGTGCACGTTCTCGACGCTGACAAGTGGGCAAACGGGAGGACGATTGTCTCATTCATGTACGGACCGCTACGTGTTGCAGGAATGTCCTACTGGAGTGGAGGACCATTGATGACTTCATTGGAGCGGCCGACCCTACTCTCGCGGAAGCAACAAAGGATCCAGAAGATGTAAAGGAGAGGCTTGTTTCAGACGTATCGATCGCTCACTCAACAATTGTGTCTCCGTCTGTCGCTCTGTGCGTTGTGCGCCAGGCCTATCACACCAACAGCGCCGAGCGGACGCCGGACGGTGAGCCGCGCTCGACAGGGCACACATCTGGAGATGATGGCTTTTTGCTGCAGGGAACGTAATCGTCTCCATGCGCAACTGTAATCTCGTCCTGTTGCTGAGCGGCAAGACGGGCCAGATCCTGTGGCGCATGGGAGGCCACACGAAGTACGTCAGTGCAGCTACTTGTGTCCTTGTGCAGCGCCTGTTTGCGTGTGCCATGCAGTGACTTTACTTTCATCGGCGAAGACATGGATCCCCCATTCGTTGGCCAACATGATGTTCAGCAACTAGCGGACGGCAACATCCTCATGTCAGAAAGATGGCAAAGATAGACACAAGAGCCAGTCACCTGTGGACGATGCCCATATGCGGCATGGCATGTAGGTATGACAATGGCCTTCAGAGGGGCATTGGCGGGACACGGCCTTCTAGGGCTCTCGAGCTGAGTCTTGACCTGAACAAGATGACTGCCACGAAAGTCTGGTCCTTTACGCATCCGAACAAGTGAGGAATCCACTCGCAGGATAGGTCATGAGTCTCGTCGTTCTTCGTGTCTGTGCAGAATGAAAAGCTTCTGCTGCGGAGGGGTCCAGAAGGTCGACAACGGAGAGTAAGATAGTAGGCGCGCTCAGTCATGGAGTGATGCACATTCTGTCTTTGTGTCAGGGGCAACCCACCGACCATGCTAATAAGCTGGGGCTACACTGGTCCATTCTTCACTGAGGTGACTTACGAGGAGAATCCGACCATAATTCGCGAGTTCGAGGGTCTCGACGGCCACCGAGGCCTTCTCCAGAGCTGGGAGGGCTTTTCGACGGAGCGGCCGCGGCTGCTCCTCTGCAGCGACGCCAACACGCAGGCGAGTGGCGGCCAGCCGTCGATCGCCCGGCTGCAGGACTGGACCATGCACTTCTCATTCAATGGCGTCACAGGTAGGCACGCAGAGACACTACACGCAGGCAGTAATCGATGGCCTTCTGTGTAGGGATCAGCAAGTGGAGGCTGTACATCGGCGCTGACAGTGATGTGCCGCTCAGCCGGCACCTGATGGAGCGCAGCAAGACCGCCTTCGAGGAGATCATCACACTGCAGGAGCTGGTCGACACCATGGCGGCCCGGAACGTGACTCTGACGACAGACAGCAACGCCAACACGACCGACGTGGCCTTGTATGTGCGGGTGGTGCCGGTCAAGGGCGATAGTGAGCTGCTCAGGCCATCCAAGGCACTCAAGGGTATGGCGGCCACACGAAATGTAATACAGACCATTGTGGGTGTGTCTGTGTGTGTGTCTGTTGCCTGCAATCAGTGCCGCTGGTTGTGTCGTCTCGCGACGAGGAGAGTGGTGCTGTGAGTGTGTCCCCTCCCCGCTCTGCAGTGCCCTGCCGCTGCTACCAGCCCGACATCGGCCTGAGGGAGCACCTGGGCAGACCAAAGCCGGAGCGGGAGAGCCCCGTTGTGGACATGGTGGCCGTCAGTGAGTGCGCCAGGGCATGTGCCGACAGCGACAAGTGCGAGACATTCTTTTTCTTCGAAGACACCGGCGAGTGTCAAATGGACGAGAAGAAGCATGAGGGACGCTACGGCAGGACGGATCTCCACTCGCTCGGAGGGGTCGTCTCTGGCCGGAGGAACTGCATGTACGAGAGGCTGGCGTGAAAAATGCCGACCTTGAAGATGGAACGAGAGGCCTGTCTATTTCCTGTGCTCTTGCGCTCCATGTGTTCGTATCTGCTGCTGCTGTTGCTGCCTCATCTTCGCCCTTTTCGCTGGTTGCATGGACGATTAGATGGGAGAGGGGGAGACACCTGAGGCCGAGTATGTGTGTACACTGCTGCTGTGCGTATCGATTTGTCCATGTTCGACTGCACATTTAGACAGACGAATCGATGGGTTGCTCACTCGGGCATTCATTGTGTAGTACGTGCCCTCTGTAGGATCGATGGCTGTTTTTAATCTGTATTTGTAGAGCCGTTTTCATTCGATTTGTATTTGTTCGTTCATGCTGTCTCCTCACATATATGTACACAACTCATGTACGTGCACACTTATTCGTTTGCAACTGTCTGTCCGTGGGGAATTGTGTCCTGTCAGTTCGGCACCCAATCTGACGCTGACGGAACACATTCGGTTTTTCTTCCAAGGGGGGCCGGGCAGGGTAGAAAGACATGCTGTTTGATAAAAAACACTGTCCCGATATCTTGGAACCATGAATGATATAAACTCTTCGAGCTCCCCCCCCCTGCCACGAACCAGCCACACAACCGACGTTCTCCGCCTTAGCAGAGAGGGTGAATTTTTTCGCCGCTTTGCTGATCTTGAGAGGTCTCAAAGTCACCGTCTGATTTGTGGACTGCTAATACGAAAAAATGTGAATCACTCCCGTCGTCAGCCCATGGCGGGAATCCATTGACTCATAGCGCAACGGCAGGCAGAGTCTGTCGGTCTCTCATGAAATGACTGCGTCAACAGTCAAGGAATCAATGATAGATCTGTCCAGTGATGAATCACTGCATCACTGCAGGCGCCTGCTTCGTATGTGCTGAGTGAGAGACGCCAGTGATCCTGGCCTGGATGGCCACGACGACGGCAGGTCACATGGGTGTCTCACATCAGAATGCAGTTCAAAACAGTCCATGTGGCGCTGGATGCTTTCATGCTTTCTCGACCTGCCGCCCTCTTTTTTCTGGTGCCTCGTCCACGATTCTGCCCTTGACCCGCTCCATTTAATTTGTGTGCTCGTGCAAGCGTCACACAAGTACACTATCCGTCCTTCCACTTTCCCCACATAAAGCCAAGACGAGGAACACACAAACATCTCTGACATCTCTCAGCTGACACATTCCCCGCGCCCATAAAGGACCGACAAGCGGATACAGGGGGAGGCACACATGGCACACATCCACATCGGCACAAGAAGAGCCAAAAACCACGCGAGGACAAAATTAGCACTTGGTTTTCTCGCAGGGCATTGCATGCGCCCAAGAATTCCTCGCTGTCCCTTCCCCGTCAATGTGCATCCGGTACGCAGACACTAATCAAACACCACCGTACGTGACGAACAAAAGGGAGCTCACGCACGAAGCCACCAGGCAGACATCGTCCGCCAAAACCAATGTCACACTGCAAACAGGACTCAAAGACCCATCAGCTTTTCTCTCCCTCTTTCTCTTCCACCGGCGAGCTCAGCAGCTTCCCAAAACGGTGCCGGTTGTCTAGGAAGATGGATTGCCTGGCGTCACACCAGCCATCGCCAACCCCCCTGAGCCGAAGTGCGTCCTTCTCCTTGTAGTCATGCCGCAGCAGGATGCATGAAGACCAGCACTTGGCAGGCCACAAACCCGGACGCTCGCAGCTGACCAACTTGTCGCGGTCCTCCTCGTGGTAAGAGCCCCTGAACGCTCCATTCTTGAACGCGGCCTTGTCGACGCCGAAATTGGCCTGGCCACTGTCGCTCACGGCCAAAGGCACTGCTGCCGGCAGCTCGTCTTGCACCAGCTGCGCAACGAGGTCGTGCTGCTGCACGATGAGATTGTTCTCGAGAATCAAGAGATGTGACGCGTTGACCTGGCGCATGAGACGCGACGCCTCCTTGTGGGCTGCATTGCCGCTTGTCGCCTCTACGTGCTCATGGGCTGCTGCAAATCTCTGCTTGAAGCTCTCATCAAGCTGCAGATCGCAGGACGGGCCGCTCGATACGAAAATGTCCGTCTTGCTGTAGTCCACCTCCATTGCCATGAGCCCCTCAACGAACTCACTGTTGTTGCCGGTCGGGTGCGCACAGATCACCGCCAGGACCATCCTTGGCTGTTCATATGGTGACGCGCTCCTCTCGTACCATACTGACCCTTCTTCAAAGCTCCACGCCCCAGCCTGATATGGCGGACCCAAAACACAACGAAATAGACACACAGACAGACAGGCAGACAGACAGACAGAAATGGTGTCGTCATGTTGACGGATGTCGCTGACCTCAAGTAGCCTCATTTGGTGGTACAAGGGCCTGCCACCGCCGTTTCCGTGGAGCACTGCCGCGGCGTCCTTGCCATCAGTACGGGCAAAGGTCAGCCCATTCACCATTCCCTCTCCATCTCGCGAGCGGTAAGTGGCGGGCGCGAGCATCCACTCCTCGGGGTTGACTCTTGTGAGAGTCTGGAAGAGCAGACGCTCATAATCCAGCTTAACTGTCACCCCATGACCAACGTCCTGCTCCAGGAATCGGTTGGTAAAGAACAACTGATCGTCCTCCCGAGGTGGATACTTATCCAGGCACAAAGCGAGAGCACCAGCACGACCAGCATAGCCGCCGGAGTTGAGATATCGGTACGCATTCTCTACATGAGATGGCGGCATGGGATACTTGTGCTTGAGGTGCCACTTGGGCCATATTCCGAGCTCGCTGTGGCAGCAAATAGAGACATACAGAGAGACAGACAGACAGACAGACAGACAGACAAGGAGTACAAAGCGCTCTGGCTGGCCCGTTTTCGTGCAATCTTTTGGTTAACTGAAGTGGCCCACACACCTGGAAACGACAATGGTCGTGTTGTCATTGTCGGGTATAAGCAGACGCATGCGCCGCTCCAGCTCTTCGTTGGGGATCCGCACCAGCGTATCATACCTGCAAGAGATATCAAGTAATCAGCCTCTTTCTTGACGAGCTTTTCCACACCCACCCATCAGTGAAGATAACCAGCAAGTCTGGGTCCTGTCTCCAAAGCCATCGCCTCATGATCTCGAGTTTGGCTTCTTTCCCGCCCTTTGTCTGATCCTGTCCGAGGGTCAGAAAGTGTACGCCGTAATAACTTGCTGAGAAACCACACACACAGAGGGTCAGATTGACGGACTGGCAGGGAGCAGGCGGGCAAATGCAGATAAGAGGCGTTCCGACCTGATCGTGACAATGCCCGATAGCCTGGGTGCTCTGGGTTCTGTCCTATAGTGACGAGAACAAAGGCTGGAAGAGAGCCGTTGACATGTGACACCACCAGCTACACCAAACATAAGCAGTCCAAATAAATGTGCATCGCATTCTGCGCAGCTCACTTGATCTACAGGCACTTCCCGCTGCTTTGGCGCTGGTCCGGCCCCTGACGTGCACACGATTCCCCTGAGGCTCGAGCTCAGCCATCCCCGCGAACTCACATACACGCCGACAAAGGAGGAAATGAGGAAGACGCCCAGGAACGCCGCGGCGAAAAGCAAGGCAAAACGAGAAGCAGTCGCCTGGGCCTGCATATCCGGGCACGAGTCAAATGTGTGAAAGAACTTACAGAGGCGGCACAGGGGAGCCAATCGATGGCAGTGAGAGAGTGGCAATGATGACCGTCATTGGCAACGTGCGGCTGCTCGGTGCCCGTACAGCTGTTGTAAATTCACTCATCGGATATCTTCTCCTTTACTGCTTAATCAAAGCCGGATCACAAGCCGGATCACAAGCCGAGGTAGAGAGAAGGTTCCTAATTCCGTCCAATGCGTCGTTGGCGCCGGCCTCTCTTGATCGGAGGCGGTTCATCGTGGAGGGCGCTGTGCGTCCGTACGGGGGCAACTCGAGTACATGCATCCCCTCCCAGGGGCGCTGCACGTGTCGGAGCTGACGTCAATTGCAGTCCGGTGATGCGCAGCAAAGATGAGACACTCGTTTCAGTGTGCGTGTATGTCCCGTTTGTCTGTGTATGTCCCGTCAGGGAGGGCGATTTGGTCATCCCTACTCAGCTCGACACACTCTTTGATGTGGAGGGCCGGCAGAGCGGCAAGGTGGATGGCCGCGTTATCCTTGCACGCGACAACAAGACGGTGCTCTTTTATCCTCACAAGCCATTCGTCCCTGGCGACAACGTCACAGTCCAGCTGCGGCCCGGCCTCCGAGTGCGGCGCTCTGACAACGGCAGAGAGGAGGAGGCGGGCGGACACGAATGGCAATTTCACATCAGAGGCAAAACCGAGTCGATCGGCGAAAGGGATATTTGGCCGCACTCGTATTATAGGTTGCACGATGGAAAGCAGGAGGCTGAGAAGCAGCCGGCGCCGATGGACCGATACCGCACGCTGCCGACGTGGTCAGCCAAGTGGAGGCCATCAGCCGAGGGGGAGAAGGCGGCCTTGGAGAGGAGGAAGGAAGACATTGACACGGGGGACGAGGAGCTCTATTTCTTCGGCGTTGGACGGTATTTTGCAGACGAAATCGGCCAGAGCGTCATCACCACTCGAGAGGTACGTCATGTGTCCATCTGCACTGATAGGTGACGCCGATGTATCTTGCTGTATGCACATGTAGGGTGACTTGGTCTGGTGGACTCAAGAGGTGGGGAAGGGGGGCGGCATGCTCGGGGTAACGCCAAGGGGCCATCTAGTCCACTGGGACAAACAGCCTAACGACACGGCCGAGACTGCATACGAGCTGAATTCGACTTATCAGGTGGTCGACAGGCACCAGACCGGTATGCAGACGATGTCCTGCGCGGGACGGGGCCAGACGAATGTGTCTGCAGGTCATGGATATCAGCTGGACCGTCACACCATCTCCTTCGACGGCGACAGCGCCATCTTGGTGGCCTACACTAAGACCAACGGCACAGTTCACAACGGTTTGCAAGCACAGAGCTGCTTGTCTCATCTTTTGACACATCTCTTCTTCTGCTGTGCAGTGGTGCACGTTCTCGACGCTGACAAGTGGGCAAACGGGAGGACGATTGTCTCATTCATGTACGGACCGCTACGTGTTG